TTTTCAAAAACAATTGTCATGTGCCTTGTTTTATACACTGAAGCCGTAATTGCTGCACTGCCTTGACTTAATATCTCTCAAAGTCGTACGACAGAAGCATTGCGTGAAAAGTTACCATCAGTTGTCGTTTTTTCGTCAAACTGTAGATCTCATTGTATTTTATCGTCCGCTACTTTCCAACATTATGTTTTCATCGAAATCAGTACCTTTTGTGGATTCCATGCCCGTCCGTTCCAGTTTGCTGTTGGATTTTTTCTCACAGAAGAATCGCCTTAAAATGCATTAAGAATCTTTTCATCCTTCGTTACTACTGAGTCATTAGCCGACCGTCTGAAGGTTCATTACCGATCTTTACAGCTGTTGTTACGATTCAGGCAATTATACGCTCTTTCATATTTCGTCCTATTATTTGAACCTGTATTCTTTCCCACTGTCTGTGATCTGGACGCCGAGAATTAGCTTTGGAAAGGAATGCGAAAAGTAAACATACAAACCTAGTTCGAGTTTCGAAGAAGCAACCACCAGCAATCTTTCGACATGTGATTTGATCCGGTAATCTAAAGGGATCCATTAATTTCCTTGCTGATTATTTGATTTGTTATCTTCATCTTCCACGACTGTTTCTCCTTTCGGGACGCACAGGCAGACGCGACTGATAGAACTTCCAACGTTCCCGATCCTGTACCAAAATCTGTGCTTCGGCAGAAGACAGCTGCAGTCTGGAACAGACTCCTTGCATATATTATTCTTGGCGGTCCCCTGTGCCTTCTGCCGGTCGGTTTCGCAAGAAACAGTTGCTTAGCCTTCCTGTCTGGAGGCATTTGCAATACATGCCCAAACCATCGCAGCGTGTCTTCTCATTCTGAAGAAGCAGAGGCTGTACACCAAGGTTCTCCCGGATGTCATTATTCCTGACCATGTCGAGACTCGTAAGGCCACCAACTCGACTCAGGAGCCCATTTCAACCGCTTGTATCCAGGATCGAACTTTTTTAGTCATGATCCACGAGTCATGGCGCTAGGTAAACACTGGTATAAAGATCGTCTTGAACACAGAGAACTTAGTTTCCATACCGAACTCTGCCTTAGTCACAGTAGATCG